TGGCTGGAAGCCGCTCAAGCCTCACCACAGAAGCTGGGGGGGAAGAGATTGGTGGCGGAGGTGGGGGAAGAGATCAGTGGGCCCAGTGGCTGGAAACTGCTCAGGCCTCGCCAGTGGAGTCGGGGGGGGGGGGAGAGCAGGGGGAGACCTGGGGGGTTGGGGGGGAGACTTGGCGGCCCCGATGGCCGGAAACCGCTCAGGCCGTGCCGCTGGAGCCGAGGGGGAGGAGATCGGCGGGCCCGGCAGCTGGAAGCCACTCAGGCCTCACCGCCGGAGTCGGGGGGGGAGAGATTGACAGCGGAGCTGGGGGGGATGGGATCGACAGGCCCAGTGGCTGGAAGCTGCTCAGGCATCACCGCCAGAGCTGGGGGGGACTTACCTGTGGCTGCTTCCTCCTCAGCCCTGAGGTCCTCCTTCTTCCGCAGGAGGGGAGCAGGGGGGGAATACCCCCCCAAGAGTATCGCTGGTCCCTCTTCTTGTTTATTCTAATCCTGGGGGTTAAACCATGTTAGTCTGTCTATAGCAGTAGAAAAAAGCAAGAGTCCAGTAGCACCTTAAAGACTAACAAAATATCTGAAGAAGTGAGCAGCGACTCACAAAAGCTCATACCCTGCCATAAATTTTTGTTGGTTTTTCGTGTGCTACTGGGATCTTGCTCTTTTCTAATCCTGGGGTATTTCTTGGGCATCAAGGCTCGCTTCTGAAATGAGAGGCATCTATCATGTTGAAATCGGGTCAGATCCAAACCATTTTGAAAATTTTCACCGATTCCATCTTCCCACTGCAGACCCCTGCTCATACCATTCCTCTGGGCCCTGGAGCAGCATTTCTAGATCCAACCCAATGGGATTACATGCTCCAGGGATGCCATTTATCAGGAACATGCCTTACATTTGCCATTGGCCCCTGGTCAACCATTGAGTTTTGCAGGAGCCTTCCTTAAACATTCTGCTGGTGTGCTCCTGCACAGTGGTGCTGATATCGTTGCAGGCTCAGCCCAACCTCAGGTCTCTAGAACTTAAATATGATCTTGGCAAGTGCCAGTTTTCTATGAGAGGAGCTAATCTTCCAGTTGCTGCGAACTCAGACCATTTAGGGCTTTGTAGGTTAAGATCATAAGAGGAGCCAATGTTGGATCAGGCCAATGGCCCATCTAGTCCAACACTCTGTCACACAGTGGCCAAAAAATACCAGGTGCCGTCAGGAGGTCCAGCAGTGGGGCCAGGACACTAGAAGCCCTCCCACTGTTGCCCCCCCCCCAAGCACCAAGAATACAGAGCATCACTTGCCCCAGACTGAGAGTTCCTATCTATACCTTGTGGCTAATAGCCACTGATGGACCTCTGCTCCATATGTTTATCCAGTTCCCTCTTGAAGCTGTCCATGCTTGTGGCCACCACCACCTCCTGTGGCAGTGAATTCCATGTGTTAATCACTCTTTGGGTGAAGAAATACACAGTGGCATCATCAGAAGGTGCATTGAGTCACTTTCCTGGGTCTTTCATGAACATGGTGATGCAGATTGAATGAGACAGTCTGATGTATTGCTTCATTCATGCTGTTTGCACATAGGGAGACCTGTCACTTGAGTGCACATCTTAATTGTTTATGGCAAAAATTGATATTGTGTTTTTTATTTATTTTTTCAAGTTCTTTCAATGAATTACTTCCAGCCTCGTAACTTTTGGAATATAATATGTCGATGTCTTTAAAACGCTTGTTAGGTTTACATACGAAATAGCTCCCGTATTCATTGTGATGGAAGAGGTCCTGCTTAAAAAAATGCATGAAATTATTGGATGGGGACAGAGTGAAGCAGATGGTGTATTCTCTCCTGGTAAGTGGATCAAAGTTATTATTCACCCTTATTAGCCTTACTTAAATATTAGAACCAAATATAGGTTAATTGTTGGCACTTCAAACCTGAAAATTAATGTGAATGTACTCTGAGCACTCATGAGTATTGGCCTGTATTGGCCCAAATCCCTGTAAAACCCAGACTCCTTAATTTGAAATTGTAGGAACTCAGAAAAGGGATACAGATAGATTGCCTGATTAAGGTTTTTATTTTATTTATATCCCAGTGGGAACCCAAAGTGGCTTTCATCATTCTCCTCTCCTGCGAGGTAAGTTAGGCTGAGACTGGCCCAAGGCCATCCAGCAAGCTTCCATGGCACCAATGGGGATTCAAACTTGGACTTCCCAGGTCCTAGTCCAATGCTATGCTTTTTAAAACAAAGATGGTGCATAGTTTCAGTCAGGGCTATTTTTGGGCAGGAACACACAGGAACGGAGTTCCGGCTGGCTCACAAGTTGGCCACACCCAGCATGAACTCATTAGCATAATACGCCACACCCAACAGCAGAAACTCATTAGGATTGGCTACATTAGGGGTGTGTGGCCTAACATGCAAAGGAGTCCCTGCTACAAAAAAGGCCCTGGGTTTTGACAACAAACAAGGTAAACAGAATAAGAAGCAAAAGGTGGGTGTGGCTGGATGACCACACTTCTGGCAACATGGGGGTGCGGCCTAATGTGCTAATGAGCTGAGCTGTCAGGGTTGTGGCCTAATATGCTAATGAGTTTCTGCTGTTGGGTGTGGCCTATTATGCTAATGAGTTCCTGCTGGGCTTTTTCTACAAAAAGAGCCCTAGTAATAATGATGTTAGCACATGTTAGGTCTCAAACTCATGATCTGCAGGTTTAGCTGAGGCCTCTCCTCCAGGACTGGACTACTTCAGACCGCAAATGGCAGATCACATGTTTGAAGGTCCTGTCAAATGCTTCTTGTGCGGGCCTAATGTGCTAATGAGCTGAGCTGTCAGGGTTGTGGCCTAATATGCTAATGAGTTTCTGCTGTTGGGTGTGGCCTATTATGCTAATGAGTTCCTGCTGGGCTTTTTCTACAAAAAGAGCCCTGGTCAGTACCATAGTAATAATGATGTTAGCACATGTTAGGTCTCAAACTCATGATCTGCAGGTTTAGCTGAGGCCTCTCGGACCACAAATGGCAGATCACATGTCTGAAGGTCCTGTCAAATGCTTCTTGTGCGCCTGGAGCCCTTCTCTCCAAAAATGCTAATTTTCATGTACCTTTGCTCTTAGTTGAACCAACATGGAACGTTCCAGGGTAGCCAAAATGCTTTCAGAGCGGTGCACCGGTAAACACTCCGACTCTAGGTTAGATTCATGGGTGTTTCCTTCTGCTAAGAGAAGAATCTTCTCCCCCAACAATCAATTCCTGGCGAAACCATATATGGGATCACTTCATTATGTCCAAAATACCACTTAGCACACTTAACCTCTCATCCAGTTTGGTGTAGTGGTTAAGTGTGCGGACTCTAATCTGGGAGAACCGGGTTTGATTCCCCCATTCCTCCACTTGCACCTGCTGATGTGACCTTGGGTCAGTCACAAGCTCTGGCACAGCTGTCCTTGAAAAAAGAGCAGTTTCTGTCAGAGTTCTCTCAGCCCCACCCACCTCACAGGGTGTCTGTTGCGGGGAGGGGAAGGGGAAGGAGTTTGTAAGCCGCTCTGAGACTCCAAGTGAAGGGCGGGGTATAAATCCAATCTCTTCTTCTTCTTCCAAATTTGAAGAAAAATTCAAAGCTTCCTGGTACCCTCTCATTAACTACATGGTGGAGTCAGATGTAATAACAGCAAACCCTTTCAACAGGTTCATGATTTACTTTTGAAGCTTAATCCTAAGGCCTAGCTAGACTCTACTTTATAATAACATTCGAAATCATTTCCAACATAAGGCCGTTAACATTTGGTTGTAAAGATAGGTTTGTATTGTACTATGGACGAAACTTAAAATGCTTTATAACATGTTACGAAGATCGTTCACATTCTCAGCCTTGACATAGTCAAAAATATGTGCATGCTCTTAATCTACTTTCGTATCTTACCTAGAGACATTCATTGTGATTATTTTGTAATACTGTTAAATTCTCTAATAAAAATTTAAATTATATACATATATAAAAAAGAATCTTCTATTGGAGGAATGAGCCTTCTACTAACTGAAGATTTCTCATGTAGGCTTTGTCTACACGTTACAAAGTCCTCGTGTTCATTGAAGAGCAACATGAAGATTTTGCTTCAGATGGACAATAGGAATTTTCTGGCTCCCATGCACACACCCTGGCTTTTTTCTGTGTATCAGGTTGCCAGCTCTGGGTCGAGAAATACCTGGAAATTTTTGGGGTGGCGTTTGGGGGGGCGGGGTTTGAGGAAGGGAGGGACCTCATCAGGGTACACTGCCGTACAATGCCCTTCTCTCTTTTTTTTTTGGCCCCCCGGAGGGGATTTTTTATTGCATTTTTAATATACTACAAACTACAATGAAAAATTGGGAAGGGGTCACTACATCGAGGGAGAAAGGAAAGAAAACCACAACTAACTAAAACCCCCAAAATAGGAGATCATCACAACAGCTTGTATAAATGTTAATCTTAAATTGCTAATATTACTTTGAACATAGTCGGCTATGCTAATTTTTAAATCTTTTTATCCAATGTTTTAACCATTCAAGAGAACCCCCAGAGCATCCCACAATAAAACTAAAATTTAAAGGCACACTTCAGAATCCTTCAGCCTTCATTTTGTCTTATCTTTTCTAATCCTCAATTTATATGTACGCTTGGGGGCAGCCGCACCCTTATCGGAAAGAGAGTCCTCGTCGGAAGATACCGAGTCCAATTCGCCACTGGATTTGCTGTCATCTTCTTCCTTCTCGACCTCGGCTGGCTCTCCCAGCTGCACTCTCAGGAACTCACGTGCTTTGGAAACAGAGTCAATCTTTTCTTTTTTATCTTGTAGTTTGAAAATGACTCATTTTGGAATTAACCATCTGTAGACAATGCTGTTTGTTTGAAGAAAAAGGATTAAATCTTTATATTTCTTTCTCTTTTGCCTTCTTTTGAATGGAATGTCTTTTAGAATCCTGATAGTGTTGTCCCCGATTTTC